CCAGGAAGGGTGAGATTCCATTGGACACACAGAAGATTTAAAATTTGCACAATCTCTGTTGCCAAATAGCCAATTCTAACGAAATTGTTATTAGGGGCAAACCAATAATATGCTGATATTTACTGATACATCTTCACTGACTTAGTCCATTCCACGTAGTTGTTTCCATTCAAACATTTAATAATTTGGGGAACCCCACAACTGACATGGTTGGAACCAACTTAGTTTCCATATTACTGCTGGGAGTCATGATTACTGACAACAGAATATACATATATATATATATATATCAGCAGCACTAGCTCACAGAGTACACTGATTTTGTACAACCACAAAGCTCGAGCCCAATAAACGGCTAACTCATTACACAAAACTTTGGAAAAGCTTATGTTACAGTACAAGAAACTTTGAACCGTCGTACTATGACATATAATTAGCCCTAGCAATTCTAAAAGTTTGAAATTCCAACACATGAAACCAATTGTAGAGTTCTCATGAAAAAGGAAAGCAAAAAAACTAGTACCTCAACAAATGAAGTCCCTTGAGGATCTCTCATATCACAAATCCAAAAATACATGTGGCTCTTAGGAAGACTGTCATCACTTATTCTTAGATTTCCAAGAGCTGCCTTTATACTGAAAGAGGATGGGAAGACCTTAAAGAAAAATTGAAGTCAATAAGCAAAAGGCAAGAGGGGAAAAGATATTAGAAAGAAGTATAAATTCTCAAACAAACCTTAATATCTGTAAGTAGATTATCCTGTGACAATGTAGCAAACCTAGTCTCATTCTCGTTCATCAGCAAAATCTGTGCATGAGCCATATTTAGTGTTAAATTGAAAATGATTCTTGATTTCCCCTTTCCTAGCAAACCCTTTACGGTAGGCTCCTCAGATGCACTTAAATGCTGATCTTCGATTACATTTCCTTGAGAAAGATCTTCTTCTAAGTTAGAATCTGAAGAATTGTCGTTGAAAGATTCACAAGATCCATCCTCAATATTAATAGCATTTACAAATTCCATAACAGCAAGGATAGTTGGTCTACGGCAGAAAAATGACAAAGTAGCCAGGGTAACTGTCACCTGAAATAGTCAGATCACAACTATTACAACTAACCCCGTAACTGATCAAGGAAGCAATTAGGAAAATTACAAACCAAGTTATCAATGTTCTCATATTGTGGCGAACTTTTATCATGGATAACTATCTGCGCTTTCACAAAGCTGTCCAATATCTCAGTTGCTTCCATACCCTGCTGTCCAGTTTTGAGAGTATCACCAGGGAGTAAACCTACAATACGACTAAAACTAGGGGTCTTAGATTGGAGTGAATCTTGGGAACCCAAATACCCAGAAATGTTCCTTGGTGTCTGCGATGCATAGTCGAATGAATCAACTAAATTTTCAGGGGCCTCATAAAACTTTTCGTCTCCTTCAACAGTAAGATCGTTGCTCTCAAGGCTCTGATTCGCAGTATCATCAAAAGATGAATATGCATCTACACTTCGGATAAATGATCTGGCAAGAAAACACGGTTGAGACAACCCATTGCTACAAACTAGATCTTCAATCTCCAAAGATTTAAGCATGGTTCCAATAAGCATGTCATTCCCTCTTATGGAAAGCTCAACCTGTTTCAAAAAAGATAAATTCAGTAAAGGATAACATAAAGAGATCAAATATGACAGCGTCCCTAGCAAAATTACCTGACCGCCAACTGCTCTAAATTCAAACAGTTGACTCTCTTTTGCAAGAAGCACCTTCATGAAACTAAGATCATTCTACAAAAAATAAAACATTGGTCAAGTTATAAAGCTATCTATTACAACAGAATTTAGTACATAAACATCATTCACAATTACCTGATGAGTATAATTGAAGCATATTTTTAATTCATCAAGCACACCAGTCAGGAAAAAACTCTCCATCTTTGATAAATCATTTGCTTCATATTATCATTAAGTTCCATCTCTGACCCGTCAGTATCTGACGA